ATACATTTTTCTTTCTTCTGCATCCAGTTAAGCCCCTTTCGTTGTTTTCACTCGGCATGAGTTAGTCTTACTTACCTAAGTTCCTAATACCTTTGCTCCTCTTTTCGCCTAACTCGGGTGTTAGTAGATTACACCATTAATCCACCTTTCTTTTCCCTGTTACTCGCACAAATTTTCCTTTCTAGGTTTTCCCTTCACTATCTCTAGTTCTCTCAAACGACCAGTCGGAACAATTGTCTGGCAACTCAACATCTGAAGAAACCAACTGCACCACAGTGCAAGTCGAACCAACCAACACATAACCTCCTGTTCTGTATACCAGAGCTATAGTAGACGAGTGGCTGGTTCAGCTGCATTGGAATCCGCCTAAGACCTGAAACCGTTCCGCAACACCAAGAAGCGAATAAGAAGAAATCAGCTCGTTTATACAAATCCGCCTAACAGATATTGGATATTGGCTACAATCTCCAACAAGTGGGGATTGGCTTAGGTTCGAAGCATACCGTAAATTGAGCGGGTATTTCGAAGTCTGCGTCACTGATTTCTTTGTTGGCACTTGCAACATGAGTGACGATTTAGTTCTGTTAGATGCTCAGTACGCTTTTCTGCTTGGAAATCACCAGCTAGCGCTTAAAACACTACAAAAGTTGAAGGTAGCTGTCTTGCATCTGTCCTCAACATTTTTTAGTTGACTTCCCCCGAAACTGAGTCTCAGGCCAATGTTCTGACTTACCAAGTTTATCTAGCTCAAAAAAAGTATGGGGTTGTACTGGATGAAGTACCAGAAGATACTGACGATGCAGAGCTCAAAATTCTTCGGCTTATGGCTAAATATTTATCCGGAGTCATATCGGAGTATGCCCGCGTCGTAATAACATATTTTTAGAAAAACTGCAGTGAAAGAATTAGACTCAGTTCTAGAGCGACAAGCAGACCTAAGCCAAAACCTGGTTGTCTTAGCGGCAACTATTTATATGAATTTGAATGTAAGTCGACTTCCATTTCAAAGACGTTACTGCGTAGATGTTGGAGTCTGCTTTGAAGATCTTGAATAATGCAAATGAGATATACTGGTAAGTGGTTTACAAAGGCTTAGGAACACATGGGATGGTTTTTATTTATTTTGCAGTTATTGCAGATCTAAGGCATTGAAGCGATGGTTACCATCCTATTTATATGCTACATTGTCACTACTTATGAAGTGACTAAGCGCACGGAAAAGTTCACATTCTTAAGCTTTTCAGGCAACAACCCTGCTGTCGTGCATATTTTCTTTCTAGCAGTCCACACGCACCTATGTGACTAATATGAAGTAGTCTGGTTGTTTACACCATAATATTCTGAGACTTGTGTCACATACTAGAGTTTCCTGTGAGAGGTTTCAAAAATCGGTGAAGGATATTACTTATATGTGGCATATGCATTTCATTCACTCTATTAAACTACTGTGCAGTAGAATGGTTGTCAGTTCTTACGTTAGATCTTCGTGATTCTTACGATAGTTCACAAAGGTGAACTGAGTTACAGTAAGTCGATAGATACTGGTTATTCCAATTTGTTTCTTATTACCGTCATTATTTCACGCAGATTTGATCGGCAACTACTAAACAACAATTCGATTTGTTGCAGATTTGTGTAATGGACTGACCAATTATCTGCGGGTTCTTTTTGTACTGCTTCTCCCTTCACGTCCTTATGTGGTTCGGAGTTTGAGTTTGAGTCTCGGGGCTTCACCGCTTGGAGATCGACTTCCTAATCCCATGAGCAACATCTTTTCGCTAAAAGCAGTGTTTACGTGTACTTACCACGGGAACTAGGCCCACCTATGCTAGCTAGGGCTTTACATTTTGAGATTCTAACATTTTGTTTAGTGTTCTGTATTATGCTGATACGGTACAAGAAGATAGTATAAACAAAAGGTCTCAGTTCTTAGATTTTCAGTATCTTGTTTTTTATGTAGTGGGACCACTAAATTTATTGTTGCGAATACTATCTTACATCGGAAATCACTGTTTGAACACCCTGGTCCTGAAATAATAACTTCGTTTCTGTTCTCGTTATTAGTTATACAGCCTCTGAGCGATCAAAGTTCTAGATCCATGTTTGGTTAAAAATTATGGCTGACTAAAAGTTCTGCATGCTTCGAGCTAATTATTGTAATAATTTTCGTAAAAGTAGGTTTAAACGACATCAAACCTCAAAGTAAATACCTTTGTAATAGATATCTTAGAGCGCAGTCGAGATTTATATGAAAAATGTCGTACATGTTGTTTTCCCCTCATGCACTGTGTATTATACGTTTTTATGATTTATACTGGTTGGTGATTGAAAGTGAAATGAAAATCCAAACCGCGGCCGGACTCGAACCAGCGACCACCGGGTAACCGGCCCAGTGTTCTGCCAACTAAGCTGCAAGGTCCGACTGCTGACCAGAATTTTATTTCACTTCAATCACCAAGGGTTTTGCCCGACTACTATGTGAATTCGGGACGCGTTACTACCGCTTGATCGTATTCACACTGGCTACCCGGTCAGGACCTCATCCCAGTCCAAATCTAACTGAATCAGAGAGGGGGAGCATCATATTGATTATGATTTGACTAAGATGGCCGTAGTTTGGCAGACTAGTATTTTTACTGTGTGATGATTGAAGGTGAGATAAAAATCTGGACCGCCGCCGTATTCAGGCAAAACCCTTGGTGATTGAAGTGAAATAAAATTCTGGTCAGCAGTCGGACCTTGTAGCTCAGTTGGTAGAGCACCGGACCGGTAACCCGGTGGTTCTTGGTCCGAATTCGGCCGCGGTCCAGGTTTTCATCTCACCTTCAATCATCACCCAGTACAAATACTAGTCTGCCAAACTACGGCTTAGTCAAATCATAGTTTTTATGATAGTTAAAATCCAAATATAAACAAAGAATATTCTTCTCAATAACTTCTCATCTGGTTATGCAGTTGTTAAATCTAATTCGCTAACATAGTGATAGCCAAATTTGCGGCGAATGCATTCTATAGATAGACAGATATTAAATTATATATATATATATATGGATTGCGGTGATAAGTGAACTGTAAGTGTCAACTGATTGCTCAGACATACTGAGTATATGCAACATGGGGGTGGGAAATTCATAGTTAAGTTGAAGATTGCATTGCGTCACGTGAATGATTCGTACAAAAAATGACATGAACTTACCAGAAAGGTAGAAATGGAGTGGATATCTCATTATAAAGTGGCCGAAATTCTCGAGATGGTGTGGTGAGAGTAATAATAATTTGAATGACAAACGGAGTGTGTAAAAGTCTTAACGGACATTTTCAAGAACTAACAGAAAATTTGATTAGAAAACGAGGGAAGAGGTAGGGGAAACTGGTTAAAATAATACTTTTTTAAGAAAGAAGAAAGGAAACGAAGCAGATTTTCAGGGAAAAACAAACGGATGAGGGAATTTTATTTAGTCAGTGGGATGTTAAGGGAGGAGTGATGTCTGAAAATACTCCTTTTTAATGCAAAGTTCAGGTTTATCCCAGCAATACTTATCTTTCACGCTCACTATATGCAGCGCTCAGCTTTTGGTACGTATGGGGTGGTTATCATTAGCAACCATGTGACCACTGTCACGGTAGTCAATTTTCTTCGACTGAGGTGGTTGAATATGTCACATATGTCTAGTCACCATTTATCCCGACGCGCGACGTTATATGATGCGGGTTTCCTGGATAGAATCGAGAATACCTAAATCAAAGAAAGATATCAGTCACTGAAGTCTCCGACAGTTGTTTGATACTTGTAATTTCCTGTTACTATACAGGGTCAAATTGCTCGACCTCTGTTGACAGATGGGCTCCTTTGCGAATGACTCGATGCTCCCGGATATTCATGATATTGTAACCATGTTGGTGACTAGCATTAGAATCTAGCACGCGCGTTTCGTCCCATTTGAGACTTGTTAACTAGGTGTACGTGCACCCTGTGAGTGATGTTCTCGCTGAGACCCATTACCCATTGCTTCGAACACTAAATATTTATCCACCAAGCCCAATAAGTCTGGCTGTCGGTTTAAGTGGTGTAAGGGGAGGGGGGGGGTTCAGAATTCTTGGTTGCGGTCCACGAAACTGATGGATAGTACTACATGATGTGACTTGGGACTGATTGTAATAAAGCAGGTGGGTTAATGCCCTATCTTTATCGTAACCGTCACACCACACTTTGTTTTCGCATGGTATCTTCTCGTCTCATGGTTTTCAGCATCTTTTACTTACGGCATTGTTACTCTTCTGTTTTTCGCGTTGTTTCCTTTATACTGCGATTGGTTGATGCAGTGTGGTGGCTAGAATCATTAGGCAATGATGCTACTTCTCATGTTGGTATCGCCCGACTTACTGGTAAAAGCAAAACGAAGAGCTTTGGTTCATTGGTTTCGAGAATGAACTACCGGTCAGCAAGTCAAAAAATAGAAGCCCCCTGCATTTATGGAAGTTTAGGCAGCTAAGTATTATTAACCATCACAGAGTAGGTATGGCTTGTAGTATGATGTAAAAAAGCTGTATAGAGCTGCTCAGCTGTATTATCATCATTGTCTTCTTTGTGGTGTACTTTGGCGTTATCAGTCAGTCACATTCATAATCTTATTTACACTTTTGTAACGAAAACTAACTTAACCTGTTGTATTAGATTTTATTTTTACTGGACGAAAAGTTATTAAATTTTTACTAGCTACTAGTATATTTACTAAATTGCTGATACTGAAAATATTTGCCATTTGTGTTTGTAATTTGAAGCAATGCATTAACAGTTCAGTGTCTGCTTCATATGAACCGTTGTGATCTTGCTGGCAAGGCTGTTCGCCGCATGCAGACTGCTGATGAGGATTCTTTGCCAACACAATTGGTTTCTGCTCTATATTATCTGAAAAGGTAAGTTTTCGCTACTGTCTAATGAACAAAACCGTACACTAAGATGTTTTATCTTACTTTGAAATTTTTTTTATCATTTCAGGGGGTGATCAATTGCAAGAAGCTCTTCATATTTATGAGGAATTGAAGGAAAAACATGGACCTTCTAGTCTACTTCTGAATGGTCAAGCTGCAGCTCTTATGGGTATGAATAATTGGGTTGAAGCTGAACCCATTCTCCAGGAGGCTATGGATTTGGTTAGTGTATTTCGTTAATTTTCTCTAATTTTGAAACACCTCATCCATATTTGGTATCATGTATTTATTGCGATTTTCATGCTACTGGTTGATATCAAAAAGCCTAATTTATAAGTGAGCTTGGTAGCATTCATTCATGAATATTTCAGCTCCACATATTTATTGTTTCTGATGATTAACGATCCCGACCAATAGCTGCTATCTTGACGTAGTAATCAGGCTTGAATATCACAATAACCCGAGCCATGGTGGGGGAACATATGTTCCTCCAGGTTCTATCATGCCAGACAGATTTGCTGGATAAAAACGTTTACCGTTATAATGTAAACAGTTGCGCTGTGATTGGGAGGGAGTGCTCTAAAGGTAAATCTGCACTGCTGGCTGGTCTGGGTCCTAATAACAGTGTGTTTCTCTCAGATGACTAACAATCTATACCTACGCTGCATTCCTTATAGAAAGGGACGAGGCTTAGGGAAGGTTGGCAAAAACAATACTACATCTCTCTGCTCGATGACCTGTCGGTGCCAGTTGTATGGGTTTTCGAGTGCAATTCATACCAATCCCTGTTAAATCTCTGACTTTCAGAAAGGTCGTTGGATCAGTCCCAAGCAGATGTCTTTCGCGCTCTACGGTCACTCATCATTGTTACTAATCCAACTTCTTTTTAATGTACCTCAAGTAGTGACTTACTGCGCTGTGGGTAGCCAAAACTCACCAACCTCCCTCACAACTCTTACAGCACTTAAGTTCCTTCATATTGTCATCAACCGTCAACATCTTTGCCCTCTAATCTTTCTTCATTTCTCTTGGTCAATAAACCTGCTTCGTCTTTAATTTCTTCTAGCACTGCGGCTTTTGATAGCGGTTCCAGTCCACGGAATAGCACCTTTGGTGTCCTGAGACGTCACTTCAAACTGCATATTGAAGCTTTCAATATCCGTTCCTCTTGTCAAGTCAGATAAGAAGCGTGGCTAGTCAAAACTTTATCATCTCGAGCCACGGATGTGTTGTGTTTATGAGAAACCCATACAGAACCCAACTGCGGTTATTCAGTTAACTTCACCTGACCAATATGCTGAATCTGCATAATTGACTTTTCAAATTTATGGAGATCCGATGGCTAGTTCTCATTGTCTTGCAGTTGTATATATAGCATTAATTTCTAAAGCAGGAAGTTCACTTCGCTGGATCGCAGCTGACAGTAGTCTTTGCACTGTTAGACTGAACGGCACAGTAAGGACTGAAAAGAATGGTGAGACCTGCTGTTGTCTCTTTGTAATCTTCGCTTACGCACACACTAATTGCACTTTTAATGAGTTCCACGGAAAATTGTCTAACTTCTTGCCGAAAGCCAAGCGTTCAGACGTGGTTGCTGTAGTAGATTATTTCAATACACAAGTGAGTAGGCTATCAGACAAAAAGGCACTTTCGGAATCTCAACCGAACAAACAAATAATAGTGACTGCCCACTACAACTGTTTCTAATTGTAGCCAGTACAAACTTCAAAAATGAAGAGAGACATGGTTTCTCATGACGTTTGCAACTCAGTGGTCAGGTTAAGATTGCCACTCTTCCCGGAACATACTTTTGCACAGTGGTCACACGTTGGTTAGAGCACGGATATGTCGTTTGACTGTATCGGGGATTGGCCTTGTCACAGGAGACTCCTTAGTAAACCTAGAGCACGCAGATGACGTATTCCTGTTTGCTGAAGATACTGACGAGATAAAAAGTTTTCTAGATACCTATAATGGGAATTTGAGAATGTTGATGACACGTTTCTCACCATACAAGTGCAAGTCTTTGCTTCAGGACTGGTCTGCGTTAACACCTGATTAGACAATAGGGTGGGGAGGAGGGTGACTGAGTGCGTTGACCGTTTCACTTTTGCGAAGTTATACCGAACCTGGTGGGTTAATGTCTGACTAAATCTTTGGACGTATTTAAAAGACTCGCTTGATTTTCATAAGTTTGCGTAATCTATGACGCCTCCGATGGCTTGTTAAGGGCGAAATGGAACTCTCTAGTAATGACAGGTCCCACTTTGATGTCTATTAACCAATGATGAGTAATCTATCGTTTCATAGTTGTGAAAGCAACTGATGGTTGATGCCGTGTTACTTCATATAACGGCGTCCACAAAATGGTTGAAGATTATGAATAGATTTATTCGCAGTAGTTTTGGGGGGAAAATGGTCAGAAAACAAGAGTTACTGTATTTGCCTTACTCTTGAGGAGATAGAAAGCAAGATTAGTCCATGACACAGTTGGCAACACTTTTAAATTTTATGAACTGCACAGATTAAATGTATCTCTGTTGCTTTGCATTTTGAGTCATTTCGCCTATTAGGATGGTATAAAAATATAACTGCAAACTCGTGCAGTTTCGTACACTAAGCAATAAGCCACACTTATCGTGTCGCGACCGATGATGCGACTTCAGCTAAACCTTGATAGATGGAGCAGTTTTCGAACCCGTTGAAAGTCAGCTGTCTAAACCTATAAGCTAAAGCTTTACATGTAATTTACCATCTCCAACTATTCATTTCTGATATCTCGAGATAACTTTAGGCTCCTACACACAGCTTAAACCAACAGTCATTGATTTGTTTGGTTGAATGCATGTCATTTCACGTATTGTATCCTTCTAACTTAATCGTACTTCAGCTGCTGTTGCACATTAAAGTAAACAGTGGCTATGCACATTTAAAATATTTTTCAACTGGTTTAATTAGTACTAGTTCATCCCCTTAAAACTAGGTACGGAATAGCTTTCAGTCGTAGAAAATGTGTATTGTAGAGGAGTATGGCTCGTTTTCAGTAGGGAATTCGCGTAAACGGGCACCATAAGCGCTTTTATTCAGCATTTTCACTGCTCGTTAGGAATGTTTGAAAATTAGTATTCACGAATATTTACTTCTAGTTATCCAAAAGCAGTTAACAAGAAACCCTGCTCCTTTTATTTTTGACTTTTGCATCATCTTCCTCCAGAATTTGAAAATACAGATAGTATTGTTAAAAGGCCGAAAGTTTTTTTGTTGAAGTATGGAATCAACCCATGAGGTATCTTCATCTAGAATCATCTAAGAAACTGTTGACTTCATAGACGAGATAACTGACGTGCTATACGTTAGTGCTTGAAGAAATTATTTAAAATTGCTCAAACTATATCATAAGTACTTACCTTGAAATTTTCATAATATTCTTCATACATTCTCTCGACGTTCTGTTGCTTTCTTTAGAATTCTACACATATGACTTTTGCTGACGATCTAATATCTCTCCGTTTACAAAATTGACATTGAGTAGCTATCTTTTCTTGTGCACAAAAGTTTGTTCCTGTACCACTTTGTCTTTTATCATATTATTTTATTTATTTGTCCTTTAAGTTCCTAGTGGAACATAAGACTTCAGTCGCACGTCGCCATTTCATTCTCTTCTCTGCAGTTTCCAAAACCTCGCGCCACGACTGCCCATAAGCTTTCACATGATCCCCTCCATGTCATTCTCGCCTCAGACCCCCAACTCGTCGTTTCCCATACGGGTTCCACTCGACAGCCTGGCCTGGCCTGGCCTGAGTTGACTCCAATCGAACTTCTCAGTGTATGCCCAATCAAATCCATCTCCACTTTCTTCCGCATACACGTTGGACAATGGGTTCTTGGTTGGTTCATCGCCAGCCAACCAGAGTTCCTTGTTGCTTATCCTTATTATTGTGGCCATCTGATGTGATATTCAGTATCGAGTGAGTGTGGGCGGCAGCTGTTGATGATGTGTATCTGTAGTTTGTTGGAAATGCTTTTCGTAAGGCGACACTAAGTCTCTCAACCATCACATAGAAGCACTGACTGACTTGACTGACATTAGTGGTGTTGAAAATCGGATGTTGTTCACGCTTTATGCTGAGTGCAGTGAAATCGATTTCCACGCTGATTTCAGATTAAAGAAAGCCTGCCTTGCTTTGCCGATCCTGGTTTTGACATCCTCATCTGTGCCACTACCTGTGGTTGAGACTATGCTGTTTAGGGAGGTAGGTATAAGAGACAACTTCCTCTAGATTTGTCCCGTTGATGGTGATTGGTGCTTGTTGTTGTTGTTGTAGTTGTTGGTTGGGTATCTTCATCACCTCTGTCTTCTCTACATTCACTTGAAGCAAGTCCCGCCTTCGCTTCCTCGCTTCGTCTGTCAACCTGTTGGTTTTTGCCTGTAGATCTTCGAGTTTGTGCCACAAGACATTAGACATAAATCGTCGTCAGTGAAATCCAAATTGTGTAGGGTCTTTCCATCTGTCCAGCCAGCATTTGCTCGTCTTCTCTCGCCCCACACCGTTGTTTGTTGCATGATTCAGCCCAGTCCAGTCCAGTCTACCACAATCAGGAAGACAATCAGTGATAGTAGGTAGCAACCTAGTCTTACTCCTTCCTGTCTTCACTGTAAGGGCGTCACTGAGCTTTCCATTGTGAATCACTTGGCATGTGGCGTCGTCATATAGTTGTTGAATGAGGTTGATAAAAGTTTGTGCTACTCCGCAGTGTTGAAGCAGTTTTCAAAATGCTTCTTGGTCGATGCTGTCGAAGTCGTTTTGAAAGTCGATGAAGTTGAGGTAAAGAGTTGACTGCCGGTCTGTGTTCTGCTCTGTGATGACGCGTAGCGTAGCATTGCAATTTGTCCGCACCTGATTTATTTTTCCTGAAGCCAGCCTGTTCCTATTGTATTTTTGAATCCAGAGGACTTCTTCAGGATGATGCGGCTTAATACTTTGCCTGGTGTGGACAGGAGTATGATTCCGCGCCAGTTCTTGTAAAGACTTAGGTCTCCCTCTAAGAGTTTTACAAGGTAGTCCTTCCAATCGGTCAGCAGGTATCTTTCCTTCCTTTCTTGCGAACCTTCTGCAATAGTGGTGTGAGCATATCCGCTGTTTTTTCTGCGTCTGTTTTCAGTGCTTCCAGAGGAATTCCATCTGGCCCTGCTGCTTTCTCGGATTTCAGCAACTTTCTGGCGTTCAGGACTTCGGCTTTTGTCGGAGGGCTTGTGTTCACTGGTAATTCTGCGGTTGCTGATGACATCTCTGGATGAGCTGCAGGTAGTGGTGGTCATTTCAAGAGTTTTTTGAAATGGTCAGCCTATCGTTTCCTTTGTTTCTCCGCTTTGGTAGCTAAACTTCCTTCACTATCTTTCATTCGTTTCGTGTGAGTTGATCTCTTCGCAAATAGTAAGTAAGCTGGTTATTTGATATAATGTTGTCAGACCTCTCCTACCAGCAGTCTGTTCTGCTTCACTTGCCGATGCGTCGTAGAAGTGTCTGTTGTCTATCTGTGCACTCTTCTTCACTTCTTTGTCCAGTGTTTTATACGTTGTACTCAGTTCTTCTATACGTTGTGTATCCTTGCACTGGTTTATCTTCTGCTTTACCATCTTCCTCTCCCTCCTCTATGAGCTTCCAGGTATCCGTCGAGATCCATTCTATGTCTTGTTCCTTCTTCTTCCTCCCTAACACGGTTATGCAGGTTTCCTTCCACATCTTTCAAAGAGTTCCAGTGTTCTTCCACGCCGGTTTTCTCGGGGATGTTGCCTAATGTCTCCCATTTTGTCCTGATGGCTGGCTGACGTGCAGATGTCTTTTATAGTTTCGTCCTTCAGTTCAGTTCAGTTTCTGTTTTGGGTGTTGAACTTGAACTATAGTCTATCACCAGCTCCTTTGAAGGCTTTCAACTTGATTTTGAAGGTAGGTTCTTCGCACTAGGTAGTGAGTGGTGTGAATTTACATCTGCTTCTCTTCTTGGTCTGATATTGTGTCCAGTAGGCTGCATCTCCACTTTCTTCACATTGAGATGAAGTCGATCTGATTTTTAGTGTGTCTATCTGATGAAATCAAATCCACGTCACTTTGCGAAATATGCTTGTGTCTGTTCACAGTGCCTCCAATCACCAAATTATCAAATGCGCAGAAGTCTGCAAACAGTTCTCCATTCTCAATCATTTCACCCACCCATGATGAGTTCTCTTCCTGTATTTCCTCTCGCAGTTTGGCATTCATGTCGCCCATTGGAATTGTGATGCCGCCAACTGGAGTCTTGTCCAGTACTGATTTCAGTTGTCTCTAAAATTTCTCCTTCTCTTTATCTACATTATTTGTAGGTGCGTAGCGTAGCATTATATGATTGTGACTTTCCTTCATTTTGAGTTGAATCCATCATGCTGTCATGTTACTGCAGGAGGAGATTGGTTCCCAGTGCATAAGAGAGAGCCGTCGATGCTGCTGGGAACATCATGATAGTCACTCCGAAATTCAATGTGCTCGTGGTTGTCTGGGTGACGATATCGGAGTAGATTGTGTACTCTCCAGTTGACAGTTGGGAAAGTGCACTTCTCTCTGCTTACGCAGATTCCTAGCACTTCTATGCCATATCTTCTCATCTCTTTTGCAACCTTGCCAGCCAGCTTCAAACACTGTACGGACATTCCATATCATCATTCTTACTTTCGGTTTCATCGAAAGAGAGTGAGAGAGAGAAGACACATCGGCCGATCGGCTTCCTGAAGGCTTTCACTAACCGGCGTCATTTCTTCTCCCCGATTCCAGCAAGGAATAATTCTAATTTTATTTTTTATATTTGCCTTGTTCTTTGAAATGTTCTGAGTGATTGAATTAGTTTTCTGGGGTAGGGTTGCTAGCCCTATACTCAACCTTTCCTCTTTATCCGGGCTTAGGGACCGGCTAGTAAACTAGGCGAAGTTACTTTCTCTTTTAACGATTATTTTTCTCACTAGAACTGGACTAACTATAAATGTGTGGGTTTTTTAATTTTTCAGGATGGCAACAATCCTGATATCATTGTAAACATGATTGTGGTTGATCATCACTTGGGGAAACCGGTTGAGGTAAGAAAGTAAATTTTTTGGGTGTTTTTCTGATATTCTAAAGCCTGTTAAAAAATTTTGTTTATACTGAATCCTTATTCTCTTCCCAAATAGACAATCAACAGGTTGATATCTCAACTGAGGGATTGTTGTAAAGATCATCCATTCTTGGTTGATTATGCAGAGAAGGTAAATATCCACCTCGAGATATTATTTACTTCATTATTTTCTAGGATGATGAATTTACTCGTTGCGCTAGACACTATGGCCCAAGTGTACCTGCATGATTTGTTTATCGGCGATGTTTCATACCACTTTGTCTTGTGATAAATTGTCTATATTATTAATTTGATTATTTGGTTTTAAATATAATAAATGCTAATAATAGTCGTGGAAATTTTGTCCAACTTGACTTATATAATCTACCGCCAAATATGGGGTTTTTAGATTTTGCTAGCCGTTTCTAATCACCAGAACAGAGCTTATGGAACTCACTAAACACGTATAAGTTCATTTACCGTGATTATGTGGTTTATTGACTGGAACGTTCAACTTCCGGGATTCGAATCTCACTTTACCTACTTTGACTTGAGCGACTGGATAGCCTTCACGTTATAATTGTGGCTGATACTCTAGCGAATAAAACTGTACCAGGTTTTGCTGAATTATTTTATATTATTTCTAAATTACAATGAATATGTAACACCATCCCAAGTGGCTTACTTGAATTATAAATTTCTGCGTCTAGATTATGTACCCAGCAAACGCTCTACTAATTATTCAAATATATTTTTGATTCGGATTAGTCAGCACAATTCTGTTGTTGTATTATAATGACCATTGCTCGAATCGAATCCACTCAGCAACCTTGTACATATTGGTGTAGTAGACAGTGAGCCACATCTACTGCATGAGAGCTAATAGTGCTGACTGTCCAAACCTCGGTAGGTGAAGCGGGGCTCGAACCTGTAACCCATTGGTTGAAAGTCAACTCCTTAAACCAATAAGCCACGACTACTACTGAGTCCGTGTCAATGTGTATATTTATATAATTGTATTTAGTTGATTAGTTTGTCTAAGTTTTGAATTCCATGCGAATTCAGGACTACAACTATAGGTCGGGTTTTTCCTGCGTAAATAAATGATTCGCGCAAAAATTACTTCATAGTTTCAAATCCAAACAACATACTAAGGGACGCTGTGGTGTATGGTGTAACACCACTCAATCTCCATCTAACCACCCCCTGTACTAACATGTTTAGTAAGATACGATTGAAAAAAGAATCGATATAATTGTTGGAATGTATGTAAGTGTGGGATGCTTGTAAATGTTGATGTTTTTTGTTTGCCTGTGGTTTGTTTGTTGTTCTTGCCTATTTTTTTTAGAGACAAGAACAACAATATAGACAAGTAGTGAAAAAGAAAATTACAGAAACTTGCATACATAAAATTCACAACTCAAGAACATACACTTGCTTCTGAGAATACTATTCAATATCAATAAATTCCGAATACCAATAGTTATATATATATATATATATATATATATATATATATATATATATATATATATATATATATATATATTTATATATATATATACTAGGTTGTACGAAAGTTGGAGTGAGTGGAATTTGTCAAAAAAAATTCTATAAAAATCTCATTAAAATCAGTTTGGTTGTGTAATATATTGAATGGAAAAGCTTTGAGATATCAGCTGATTAGTTTACGACGACTGGTATACAGTCTATATTGAACAGTTGAAAGGAATATTATGTTTGTAGTTGTTGTCTTTACTGACAAATTTGACTTTCTCAAGAGGATGTTCATACGAGTACTCGTATTAAAGATGAAAAAAACACCATCTGTAATATTTATAGCACAGAAGAGTAGACTACTGCCGTTCATGTATTACGAAAGGCAATTGTGTAGATCAATCTGTCAATGTAATAAAAGATGATTATTATTTATGAGGAATTGAGTAACTTGCTATAAATTTGCCTTAAAAAAACGAAATATACTAACAAAGACTACATGAGCAGGTGAAGGTAAATGTTAAATCCAGAAATTGTGATCCATGTGCAGTTTATTAGAATTATACGAACGACTGCACGACCAATCAGTGAGGCTTCCTATCCAGACCGATTGAAAACAGTGGGCCAAATCCGTTTACAACTATTTGTCTCATATATATATATATATATATATATATATATATATATATATATATATATATATATATATATATATATATATATATAGTGCTGGCCTCATTGACGTTGTTCTTAGCGTTGAGCAGACTTCAACGTACGGTTTCAAATTTTGGATATTCAGAGCGAGGGAAGCTCACAGTTGGATTATCCGTGGTTGCATCATTCTCATCCTAGACTAAAAATCTCTCAAACATTTTAATTCCCCATGAACAGCGTAATTTTATTCTGTTGGTCACACTGAATTGCGTAAATAGAGATGCTAGACCAGTGCGTTTTCGATCATTGGTGGGATCACCTAACTGTAGAGATGTAACGTTGATTTTGTCTGTAAATTTCAGTAAAGTTTGAAGAGATTTTGAAGAACACGTATTTGCATAAAATAACCTTTTGTGTAAGCAGATAGTTCAGCAGTACAATCACATAAAATTCAGACAGACCATTTTGTGAAAAAAAGTCTGCTTTGTGATTAGTGTGGTATCGATATTCAAAGTATCGGCTTTTTCACTGGTATAGTATTGAGTCGTAAGCAGTGTGATGCGAATTTCAATAATTCGAATAATGTGAATAAGCGTTACGGTCACTTGATGATGGCGAGTTAAGTGGTAGGATATGTCGGTCACTTCACGTACGTGGGAGTTGCGTCGACCCGAACCGGCTGGTTGCTAACACAATCTCATCACGGATACAGAAGGTCCTTTTGTAATTTGCCAACTGACGAGATATCCTATCAGCGCCCCAGTCCGTTCTGTCCTGTTAAACGACTGAGACAAGGCCGTTAAAAGTAGACGACGTGAAGCGGTTACAGGGTTTTGATCACAGGTGTCTGCATAGCATTGCTCGTGTTTAGTGGGATTACCGTATGAGCAATTTTGAAGTCAGGCGAAGGGTACTAGGCAGGTCGATTAATGACGTTGTTGAACCCTGGTCGACTAAGATGACTTCGACATGTACTGCATATGCCGAGCCACCCCTTACCTCGATGTGCCGTGCTAAAGGAAGTTGGACTAGGTTGAAAGGGGGTTCAGGGCGGCCAGACCAAGATGTGGCTACCAATCGATGAAGTCCGTGATTGTTAGTGTGAGCCGTATGGGAAGCTGTAGACTACCTGGCTAGGGTCCTTGAGACGATAAGAATCAGTGTTCGAGGACTCTTGGTGACATTGTTGAAAATCAGTGACAATGACGCAAACGTATTCACTCTTTGACAACCTTCAAAGCTTGGATGTTCGCGCTAACCCGTTATCTTCAGATTGTTTATTCTCATGTACTACTTTTATATCACTCCTCTACCTGCCTGTTCTTTTTGTACTGCTGTGAAGTGTCGCAAGTTGAACGGATGCACTTATGTGTGAGGTTCTACGTTGATTTTGTTTGTCTGTCAGTCATTTGATGGTAGCTTTTTCGCACTTTGGGTTTTCTTAACTGATGCGAGCAGTACCGATGTGAGCAATGATAGCAGCACCTTTATCAAAGGATTTAAGACCTTTGTAGTGTAGCCGTTATAGGAAGTGACAATAGAAACTCTGTGTAGGATTCTCAATATGGCTGAGGTTAGCGTGGAATTCTAACCTACAAGTTAACACAGAAACTTTGTCAGCTTATAGATTCTATCAACCTTGCTCGACAAAACGACTAATTTACCAAGGATCATGCAATAGCTGTGAGGTCAAACTAGCCAACTGAAGTCAGTTAGGTAAGCAGAGCATAGGAATCTAATTAAGTCTATTGATAGACCTTACTGAGAGAGAAATTCAGTCGTAGGTATGGATGTAACAACAAACAACCACAATATGGTGAGATAGAGTAGCGGTTGTAAAGATTATAGTCAGGTAAAGGGAGTGCTTGATGACTGAATCTCTGATCATCGATTCATTGCCTAACACACAATGGAAATAACTCAACATCGACCCCAGAGGTACGGATAACTCTACTACTATCAATAAAAAAGGGGAAAGTAACAGTAAAAACTAAGTGAAATTGTGTCATTACCTTGATATGAGTAATAATTTATGCTAGAAAACTCATCTGGCAAGTAATTGCATAGCTTTGACCTAGATCAAATAAACTAATGTAGTAGGGAATTACAATCGATCAGTTACAAAGGCTTACACTTACTCATCAACAGAGTGGTGCAGTGAAAAGAGCTGAAGTGTACAAGCGATCATCAATTTTCCAGCTGCCTAGGTGGCTTAATAATGCCTTGATTCAAGAGAGGTGGTGTTTGGGAAACTCTGTCCTTAACAAGAAATGATACAATCAGGAAGCTCATAAAAGGGGAATCACGGTAGGATTTTGCACACTGTATTACATTCTTAATAAACAAAAAACGGTTTTGCTGACACTTGCTTCGATATAAATTTTTCAGAAATAATAACTTCAAATGTGTCAATTGTATTAAATTGACGCAATTTTCATTTTTATTAAATACCTGCAGAAATATGTTTGGCACGCCTATTCATACACTACTTTTCATTTATTTTTTACCACCATTATACTGTTTACTCGTGCAATTAGTTTAGTGAGACAGTTATAACAATTTCACATTACTACTGACAGGAAAAATGTTTTGAAGAAATAAGGTATTCAAGTTGTTCAATACTCATTTTAAATAGTTTCCAATATCTCAGTATACTAAACTTTATTCAGCTGACTAACAAAATCAAAAATTTAAAGTGTCCAAACTACACAAATAAACTGACATGCTTTCATTAACTGAATACTGTTTAATTAAGTCAATTGAATGACTAGGTAACCTATATACTATACTTACAGGAATACAAAACAATCGATTCACTTATAACTATGTCCAATATCCTTTTGCGGAAAAAAGTAAATCCTTTTATTGTGTTAAAAATATTTGATCATTTATAGGTTAACCGCTGTTACTTGAAACAAGATTTGTTATTAGATGTGGTTAAAGATAATCGGACAAACGAGTAGCGGTCTGACTTATGTAAGCAAGTACGGACAAATTGTTTGAAGCTTGTAAGATAATTAAATTGGATGGTCGAAGAATTCAGATAATATTCCATAGAATTTACCACACTGATGCAGATGTGTCCGCACCTCATTGTCGAAATCTTAAAAATCTATCATCATAAATCGTTTTACCCCTCATTCACATTTCTTATTATCTTACATTGATTGGCCACTAGGGAATAACCAATTTCATGTTATCTAGTCCGAGGTGCTGATCTGATTCTATCAATCATCTTTCATCGTGAACACCAGGCTAGAAGACACCATCATGATGCACTGAGGTGAATATCAGTTGAATCGATAGAATTCGATCAGCAATCGGGACTAGTTGATTGTCCTCTAGTGGCCAATCAAAGCACCCAATCCAGTCCTATAGGAGGTTATCGCACCCCAAATAGTTCAGTGGTAATGCCTGTGACTGTAGCACTGAGTGACGCTGGTTCGAATCTAAGGGACGACATCATTTCCACCGAGATTGCAGATACACTTTGTTGATGAGTGGCAAGAAGAACGAGAACTACATCTAGGACTTTCCGCCGACCATCTCCACCCAATTAACAATTATTTTACATTTTTTGGAACAGAGTAATATTGGGATTTTCATTTATATTTTCCGTCTTACGGACTCTACTTCGAGATGATGGTGGAAATTGTGGCAAAGTGGATTGATATCCTAGGGCTTAGTGCTTTTTTGTTAATTTATAAATAAAAAGTGGGAATTAGTATTTGATGTGCATTGTACAAGACACTGAAGGTTACAAATAAGTAGAATGTGTGCGAATTTCGGTTGTATATACGTTTTATCATCAAATTGCTGCATAATAGAGTGTTAGGATTTCAAGAGGCATACTGGCATCAAAAGCTAAAGCAGTACCCACTGGATTGCTCACACAAGTAGTTATCTATTTAATGGATAACAGTTACTATGAGAGCTTGAAACCTACCAAACTAGATCGTAGAAAGGTATTCTCGCACCCTTGGATTTACCGACGATCCATCTATGTTGTCCTTGAGCAACATAATACTGTATTAAACCATCATATACTAAATGTGGTCTAATTTTGCAAACAAACATTTTTATTGTTATTGCCTGTATTATACCGTTGTCAATTGGACCGAATTGATAGGTCTCCATTGGCATATGGGATCCTACGCGGATGCCTCGATATTACCTGTGTTCTTAATTATATGTTAATGATGGATAACAGCTAGAAGTGGAATCCAGTATGCACATTTCGTCCTATTTGGGACTCGTCAGCTGGATGTACCTGCTTCCCAGTGAGTGATGTTGTTCCCAATATCTAGGCATCCGCGCAGGAGCTCATACGCCAATGGAGACCGATCAATTCGGTCCATCAACGACGGTATGACACAAGCAATAACACTGAAACTATACCCGTTGCACAGGAAGTGGCTTTCGTGGTTCGGTGGCGTTTGAAGCGATCGGTCCCAAGTTTGAATGCAGGCGAGAACAACGCTAGCAGGTGGCCAGCACGTTACCATTGGGCCAATAGGTCAGAAGTAAAAAATGTAGACCAGTAGATTTCAACTTGGTAGCTGAATGGTAACGTGGTGGCTATGGAACCTGAGGGCCTGGGCTTGATCCCTGGTGGGGTCACAGGTGTACATTAGTTAGGAGTCCTATGCTAGGATGGAACAGCTGTCTAGTACTCCTAAGCTTCCAATGTCCGTCTAATAATAATAATAATTCACTTTATTCCAAACAATTTGTGGTACAATTTGGAATTCTCAGCGTAATATATATTGCAATAACAACAAAATATAAGTATATACATACTACTTTGCAGCCTCTCGAATTGTTTTATTATAAAAATTTAAGTTGTATGAAGAATATTAAAAACGAGAAAATTTTGCATTGTAAGTTAAATTATTGAAATGAGATTTTTAACTGTCACAAAGTTGATGTGTGATTTCTGTTCTAACACTTTTTTCCTCACAAAATATGCGTGCAAGGTAAGGTACAGTCGAATTCTTATACTTAGCTGTACGAGCATACAGTCTTATGTAGTTTCTCCTTGTCCTCCCTGAGGAGATACATGGAGAGAGCTGTAAATGAAGTGGATGCTCACTGTCAGTTAAAATTTCTGTAGCTAGTAGCTTGCAGGAATTTATATGTCGATCAACTACAGTGTTAATCAGTTGAGCCAGAGACACACCACTCACCCTGCTGACGGTCTTCAAAGCCCTACGCAACATAACATAGTCCTTTTTAAGAAGACCATGGTTTTTTTTTGGGGAACAACAGAGAGGAATAGGTAAAATGCAGGAATTAATAAATTGTAAAAGAAGCAGTTGAGTTATACCAGAAAGCCTCAATTTCTTTACGTAATAAGTTAAACGAAAGATTTTTCTACAAGTCAATAAAATATGGGACGACCAACAAAGGTCAGAAGTAAAACCCAACCCAAGATAGTTCACACTCGATTTACTTTCTGCAGAAATACCATTGATGCAGCAGGCGTCATGAGATTTAAGCAGCTCACATAAGTCTTGTTTACGCCTGAGGCTAAAATTAACGGTCTGACATTTAGAGGGGTTTAGTTTGAGACCATTTGCCAACTTCAGACAAGAATTCATTTAATTTCGAGCAATCCAAAGAAGAGTTTACTGGAATAGAAATCGTCAGGTCGTCAGCATACTTGATAAAATTAGTTTCAACAGAATAAGGCAAATCGTGCAAAAAAAGGAAAACAGAAAAGGAGAAAGTACAGCACCTTGAGGCACACCAGCTTCAGTAAGCAATGAAGTCGAGCGCATCCCTTTATGAATAGTGTACTGTTTCCTTTCAGAAAAATAAGAATGCAGCCATTTTGTAACCCATGGATCAGTGTGAGCTATGGCAAGCTTATTTAACAAAAGTGGTCTAGGAACAGAGTCAAAGGCTGATGAGTAATCCAAAAAGGCACAACGGACATACTTAACACCTTTGTCGAGACTAGAAACAATATTATGATGCAAGACAGTAGCTGCATCTAAAGTACTCCTCCGGTAATTTTAAGCAAACTGTTTTGGATCTCTGAAGGCCATCAATGAAGGCTCAATCACAAGCAGAAGTAATTTCTCCATTGTCTTCAGAAAAGGGGAAGTTATAGCGATGGGTCGAAAAGTAACATCTGATCCAGAAGATGGCTTAGGCACAGGTACAATTTTTATCTGCTTCCAAGCAGTGGGTATTATGTTTTTAGAGAACGATACATTGAAGATATCTGTAAGTGGATGACACAAAATATCTGCACATTTTCTAAATATGATACTAGAAACACCATCAGGACCTAAGCTTTGGGAGGGATTCAAAGACTTTAGACATTTAAATACATCATTTGTATTGAAACCTGGAAAGCAGCTATCCACTTGATTTTGCACATTAGGAAGGGTGAAATTAGCTTGCCGACGTATAAATGACTTGTTTAACGCGCAGACATCCGAACGAGTTTGTGTTGTCATCTGTTTTTTACCAGTAAGCTCTTTAAATAATTTCCATATATTGGAAGAGTTCTTACACGATAAGAACTTCTTGTTGTATATAGTATTCAGACGTTGTATTTCAGACTTAATTAGGCAGTTAAGCCTTTTAACGCCAGGGTGATCTCTCGCCTTATACAACCTTTCCTTTTCTCTCCGAAGCCTCTTGAGATGAGGAGAGGAAAGTCTGTCAAATCTCATGTAAATTGTTTCAGTAGGGCAGCAGATATCGAGACAGAATCTGAGATAGCTTGTGATATTGGTAATAGTGTTGTCTAAAACTTCATCAGCAAATATATCCCAGTCCGTTTCTATAAGCATGCTTCTCAAACGTAATAAATTTTCTTGTGAATAGCATCTGTATTGAACTTTCCTTGAAAGGTATGCAAAAGCTTTCTTGTATAATTTTCCGTACACTTTAGGCAAAACACGAACAATACAGTGGTCGGAATTTAGCAGTGGAGCCCGTTTACGGGCTTCATATATGCCAGGTTCATTTGTAAATGCAAAGTCTAAGGTGTTGTCAAGACGAGTGGAAAAGTTAACCATATTTTTATGACCCAATGATAATAGAAAACTGTAGTCACATGAGTTAAAATCACCACAGACAATAGACAAGGAGTTTCCCAGAACCGGAGCAGCAAATTCAGTGAATTTATCAGCAAAAGTTGACAAATCTGAGAAACTGCAGTCAGGTGTGACATACATGTTTGTGATATATATGTATTTGTATTTGCTCAAATGTTTGGGACGACATTTGATGGTAATGCACTCAATTTTTTCGTTAGAGAAGCAGAAGCATACATAGTTGGAGGACGACCAGTTAGTACTAATAAATGTTGCTACACCACCACCACATTTCTTCTTCGAAAAGCTTCGATCTTGTCGAAATAATTTGAAACCATCTAAGCAGACTAAGTCATCATCATACAGATTATGAAGCCATGTTTCCTGCAGCATTATTACACCCGTGTTTCGATAAACATTTGTGGACAAGAGTGACTGAAGGTAATCAACTTTATTCGGCAACGACCTGCAGTTTGTGCTAAGTATTTCCGGAATAGTCATTTGATCTATGGTCATACGCTTCAGCGCCCGTTGCCATCCACCGTGGTGCTTCTTCTTAAATTTCCTATCAACTTGCGAAGCGATAGGTTGTAATGAGTTTAAAAACGTGTGAGAATATACTATACGACTGGTTGACATAATTGGACGACTAAAACAATATAGAAATGAGAAATTTGATGCAATATACTCGATTATAGAAAACGGTAGCCTAGAGTTCAAGCAGGTCGCCAGGCCGCCGTCTATATTGAATACCAATCTGAAATTAGTAGATTGAAATCTGAATCCACTTTAATTCATATGACTGACAAACTAAACTTTACCAACTGCAAGAAGACGATGATGTGACACCCGTTATTACTCAGTAAAAACTTTATTTAGAGAAAACGCAGTACTTTCTGCCCCCCTGTAAAGTGGTTAACACACATGGAATGGATATTTTACCGTAACAAAAAGGATACTTCAGCTAACCTTTCAAGTAATACAGAATAAATTAAATTTGAAGCAAAATAAAATCTACAATTACTGACCTTAGTCGATTTTGGTTTTCCTCAGTAAAATTTGACAACACTTCTATACAGTGTGGGTGGTAAGTGAATATTAATATACTATGTGAATATTACTATTATTATTAAAATAAGTAATAGAGGATGAAGACGAACATTTTCTATTCACATATTATTCATACAAATAGCTCGATTGCATTTGTTTCACACTGATTTTGAGCAGATTTGAGCAGGTGGTCAGCTGAAGAAGAGTTAGCCATCACTTAGAAACTATAAAAAAAGAAGAAGAACAATAGACGTTAAATGTTTAGATGAATGGGTCATGTAATATACTGATTACTTGGGCAAACTAACACATTTCGATATAATTATGGAATGAAGTCATCATAAGCTTTATAGAACTGTTCAAATTACAGTGAGCAATGTAATATTACCAAAGAGTTCAGTGATGTGACAACATGGTGAACTATGTTAAATGGGCCTTCTGAATGTGGGGTTTCCGGTGGAAAAATCTTTGTCTATTGTAATGAACAATCCATCTGTAATTTGATCCTTCATGCACGTCTGAATGATCTACTGTAGAGAGAACAGAAAATACATCATGCTGGATTTCGCTATTATTCTTTCTGTTCTTACAGTTTGCATTACTAGCTGAAAATCTTTTCATAGTAGTGAGACTAGTACGCTCTATGAAAGTTGGTTAATTTCATTAAAAATATGACATATCTTGAGATTAGACTGCTTGTTTGCAACTTAAGAATGACCTTATTCTGCATTTGTGTGCTTTTTTACTTACATGAAGTTTTGTTTAATACTACCCAGCATTTTTTATTTGTCACAAGTATATTCAAAATGCGACATGGATTTCACCAGATGGACACATTAAAAATCAGATCGACTTCATCTCAATCTCAAGAAAATGAAGAAAAGCGTACTGGACACAAGACCAAGTAAAATATTAGGCCACATCATCCTGGGAAGAATAAAAATTGAGCCGGATTCAAAATTACTACCGCAACAAGCTGGCTGGCTACTTTCAGGAAAAAAAATCATGTGCGCATCAAATTGCATCGCTATGCATCATCATGGAACAGAACATAAACTGGCAGTCAACTCTTTACCTCAACTTCATCGACTTTCAAAACGCCTTCGACAGCATCGACCAAGAAGCATTTTGAAAACTGCTTCAACACTATGGAGTAGCACAAACCTTTATCAACCTCATTCAACAACTATATGACGACGCCACATGCCAAGTGATTCACAATGGAAAGCTCAGTGACGCCTTTACAGTGAAGACAGGAAGGAGTAAGACAAGGTTGCTACCTACTATCACTGATTGTCTTCCTGATTGTGGTCGACTGGACTGGACTGGACTGGATCATGCAACAAACAACAGTGTGGGGCGAGAGAAGACGAGTATATGCTGGCTGGACAGATGGAAAGACCCTACACAATTTGGATTTCACTGACGACGATTTATGTCTAATGTCTTGTGGCACAAACTCGAAGATCTACAGGCGAAAACCAACAGGTTGACAGAAGAGGTGAGGTAGCGAAGGCGGGACTTGCTTCAAGTGAATGTAAAGAAGACAGAGGTGATGAAGATACCCAACCAACAACTACAACAACAACAACAAGCACCAATCACCATCAACGGGACAAATCTAGAGGAAGTTGTCTCTTTCACCTACCTGCCTAGGCAGCGTTGTTTAAACTGCAGGCGGCACAGGCATATATGAGGATGTCAAAACCACGATCGGGAAGACAGTAGGACAGGCCTTCCTCCATTAATCTGGAATCACTGTGGAGATCTACTGCACTCCACTACACTCCACTCCACTCCACTCAGCATAAAGCGTGAACAACATCCGGATTTTCAACACTACTAATGTCAGTCAAGTCAGTCAGTGCTTCTATGTGATGGTTGAGAGACTTGGTGTCGCCTTACGAAAAGCATTTCCAACAAACTACAGATACACATCATCAACAGCTGCCGCCTACACTCACTCGATACTGAATATCACATCAGATGGCCACAATAATAAGGATAAGCAACAAGGAACTCTGGTTGGCTGGCAACGAACCAACCAAGAACCCATTGTCCAACGTGTATGCGGAAGAAAGTGGAGATGGATTTGAATGGGCATACACTGAGAAGACCGATTGGAGTCAACTCAGCTAGGCCAGACTGTCGAGTGGAACGCGTATGGGCAACGACGAGTTGGGGGTCTGAGGCGAGAATGACATGGAGGGGATCGTGTGGAAGCTTATGGGCATTCGTGGCGCCAGGTTTTGGAAACTGCAGAGAAGAGAATGAAACGGAGACGTGCTACTGAGAAGCTGGATGTTCTACTGGGAATTTAAGGAACAAATAAAATAATAATAATTATAATAGTGATTTTTTATTTGTTTCAACTCAGTAAGTTGATACAGATTTATATGGTAGGTCAAATGTCATATCTGATGGTACTATTCAATTATTCAGTTTTGCGTAAGTAGAGTATTTTCGAACCTGGGAATAGATTCTTGGTAGGCGAACACATAAATGAAATTGTTACATATTCTAGTATCTAACTAATCTGTGATTATTGAGTGGACACATTCACCAGTTAGTTACCGACTGACTATCTGAAAACCTTGGAGAATCCTGAATAATCAGTTAACGAAGTTATTAGTACATATAATTGTTATTATGTCATATCGTCGTTGATTGGACCGAACTGATCAATCTCTATTGGCGTATGCCTCGATATTACCTGTGCTCTTATGATAGTAATGATGTATAATGGCTAGCAGTGGAATCCAGGATGCGCTTTTTTTTCTTGTATAATTTGCCGAACACTTTAGGCAAAACACGAACAATACAGTGGTCGGAATTTAGCAGTGGAGCCCGTTTACGGGCTTCATATATACCACGTTCATTTGTAAATGCAAAGTCCAAGGTGTTGTCAAGACGAGTGGAAAAGTTAGCCATATTTTTACGACCCAATGATAATAGAAAACTGTAGTCACATGAGTTAAAATCACTACAGACAATAGATAAGGAGTTTCGCAGAACCGGAGCAGCAAATTCAGTGAATTTATCAGCAAAAGTTGACAAATCTGAGAAACTGCAGTCAGGTGTCACATACATGTTTGTGATATATATGTATTTGTATTTGCTCAAATGTTTGAGACGACATTTGATGGTAATGCATTCAATTTTTTCGTTAGAGAAGCAGAAGCATACATAGTTGGAGGACGACCAGTTAGTACTAATAAATGTTGCTACACCACCACCACATTTCTTCTTCGAAAAGTTTCGATCTTGTCGAAATAATTTGAAACCATCTAAGCAGACTAAATCATCATCATACAGATTATGAAGCCATGTTTCCTGCAGCATTATTACACCCGTGTTTCGATAAATATTTGTGGACAAGAGTGACTGAAGATAATCAACTTTATTCGGTAACGACCTGCAGTTTGTGCTAAGTATTTCCGGAGTAGTCATTTGATCATCGGTCATACGCTTTAGCGGCCGTTGGCATCTATCGTGGTACTTCTTCTTAAATTTCCTATCAACTTGCGAAGCGATAGGTTGTAATGAGTTTAAAAACGTGTGAGAATATACTATACGACTGGTTGACATAATTGGACGACTAGAACAATATAGAGATGAGAAATTTGATGCAATATACTCGATTACAGAAAACGGTAGCCTAGAGTTCAAGCAGGTCGCCAGTATCAACGACGGTATGATGTAAAAACAATCCTATACTAAAAACTACACCCGTGGCACAAGAAGTGGCTATCGTGGCTGGGTGGTGTAGTATATAACGCTCTGGCGGTTGAGGCGATCGCTCCCGAATCCGAATGCTGGTGGGAATAACATCACTCAGTTGAAAACAGGCACATCCAGCTAACGAGTTCAAAACAGGACGAAGTACGCATCCTGGATTTCACTGCTATCCACTATCCATTATTAAATAGCGAAGTTATTCTTGCTTAAATTAAGTGTCACTGTTAAAACAAATTGAATAAATAAGCTCAATTAAATATTGATTCTGGTCACCAAGAATTTTTCCAACTTACTGAAAATGTATGTTGAAAAGGAGATACTCAGTGGATAATTTGGCTCTCATTCATTCCATAGAAAGTTCAAGTCAACCCCATTCACCTAAGTGTGAACACTTGGACATTCAGTGTTGACCGTTTCTGTGTTTGAGTGACACCTAACGAAGTACTAACCATAAGGTAACTTGGTCCAAGTTTCACCGTACCCAGTTGAATTTACATGCTTGGATATGGCCTGTACAACAGTGATACATCATGAACTATCTAATAGAACTATTCTTTAGTGACCAAATTCCTTCTTAAGCGTAACATTATAGCGGTAGCCTTAATGGTAAAGGAATGTTAAGAAAACGAAGTTGCTTAAGAGTTGTTGCGATACAAAAAAGCTTGATTATTTTGTATGTTTCTTGCCTCGACCACTTTCTCATATCTTGTTAATGAGAACAAATAAGATCTTGGCTCAGGAAAAAGCTAATTCCCGACTATCTAATATCAAGTAGGAGTCTATTCATATCTTGTAGCTAGATAACAAAAGACTCAAGCAAGACGTGTAAGCTTCCATGCAATGATCAATGCATTTATCTGCGAATATGATGCTGAATGATATGAGAACGAAAATCCTCATTAGGTCATTGAAAAACAAAAGTGGTTACAACGAAGATAATCATCTTATTGACGACTCGTTTTCACAGCTGTACATTCGTAAATACACCAATAAAATGATACAATGTTTCGTATAAGTTTCGGTCAAAGGTCGGACTTGATCGATGGTGTATGTAAGATGTAAAACTATATTACGTAACATAAGACGTGATCTCATTAGTTTTTTTATAAAATGCAGTAAACAGTACCTACTAAAAATTAATAGGTCAATATTTAATAAAATATAAATAAATAAATAAATAAGACACGAAACAAAGTAAAAACAGGACGTATGTAATTATTTAACTGAAATGGAAAGTAGAAAATGTAATACATTTGAGACTTTTATTGCTCAATTTCCATCTTTTATCAGTAATGCAGGATTGAATATCAACGTCAAAAACTAACCCCGATAAACTCAAAAATGGACCAAAAAGCAGATGATACTTATCAAGTTCGATTCCAAGCAACAAACCTTATAACAGCTGTAAAATAATAACTCAGCACTCAAGTGAAGACTAGTGTAATATGAAATGATATGCATTCATTTTGGTTTTTATTTTACCTCT